TTAGTAGATCTACTAGCAATCCAAGCAAAAATAATTGGAAGGCCATTGAGAGAGTTTTTGGATACTTAAAGAAAACCAAGAACTTATGCTTGCAATATTGGAAGGATTTACTGATGTTAGTTGGATATCTAGCATGGGTGAAAGTAAATCCACCTCAGATTGGGTGTTCACTCTAGGAAGAGGTACTGTTTCTTGGAAATCAAAGAAACAAACATGCATAACACACTCGACTATGGAATCAGAATTTGTAACTCTATCGGATACCGGGAAAGAAGTTGAGTGACTTAAGGATCTCTTTTATGAGATACCTCTGGGATCGAAGAATATTTCTTCAATACATATCATGTGTGATAGTCAAGCCATATTAGCAAAAGCATACAACGAGGTATACAATGGAAATTCTAGACACATGAGTTTTAGGCATGACTATATAAGGAAATTAATCAAGGATGAAATAATTTCCTTAAATTATGTAAGTTCAATTGAGAATTTGACGGATCTTTTGACAAAACCTCTAAATAGAGATTTAGTAGCATCTACTTCGAGTAGGATAGGGTTGAAACTGCTTAACTAAAAAAGTTCACCAATAACAGCAACACTCCTGTCATTACTCAAAAGGTAATTTACAGGTTCAAAGGGTAACAACAAGTCATTCTATATGTGGATAGTTGCAACATTATTAAAATCCGCAATAATCCTATCCTAATTAAAATAATGCTGGTTGTTACTGAAATGTTGGATGAGCTTTAAGCTATTAATGAAGTTCAGTGCTAAAACACAAGTACCTCTAAAAGTAACAAAGGTACTGGAAGAATTTCACCTAAACAATCTTCAAGGTGATGTCGCCTTAATAGAGAGTTGGAATTTTTCTCTTAAAATATTGTTGAAAATAATAAGCACAAGGTCATAAAAGCGTTAAGCGAGTTATGAGAAACTTGAGAACACGTGGTACTCGTGTGTGTGTTCTTACCGGTATTGTCATATGGAATAACTGGTTCAAAACTACACGCTACTTTTGATTTTGACTATACTTTGTTTGAATTACACTTTGGTTAGATTCAAATCGAAATATATTTAATCCTTATGCATGATTATCGTATACTATGAATATGAGACTTGTTAATTTTGAACAAGTGTGGAATGCTGTGATTATGTTGTTCAAAACCAACAACAATAAATTAAAAAAAATTGGTCCATGCGACCACATTGCATTATGCTGAGACCAAATGGTCTCGGCATGGGTGAACCATGCGACTGCAAAATTTTGACCTTTTTTACCGTTGCAAATTTGAACTTGGTGACTTTTCATTTGATTTTTTGGCACCATTTCGTACTTCTGGTCGATGGCTATATAGAGGAGAGCCATGTTTGAGGGAAAGATGTTAGAAAAACATCTTGCAATTCATACTTTGTTCTAAGAACAATCAAATCCCGATTTACATTCATATCTAAGTGTTCTTCAAGTTTTGGAAAATTTCATCTCGTGTTTTGGTGAAATTCTTTACAAAACTTGTTATAATCCTTCAAACTATTTGCCAGAATACCTTTAAGCATCTCGAAAACGCCGGATAAGGGACAAATAACGTTTGAGGACAGCGATCCCGTGTTCAAGCCTTCACATTTGTTGATATAAATTTTGTTTTGATCCATCTTGTTGCCATATTCTCTTGTGATTTTCTTTTTCTCCATCTCTCAAATTATTTCCAACATGAACATAGTAAAGTTAGGAATGCTGACATCGGGATTTTGTACAACATTCACACTAACAAAGCACAAATTGACAAATAAGTACATAAATAGGTAAAGGAATGGAAACACATATTGCAGCTTCTATGATCCATTCAACTGCCTTCAAAATGAGAGATAGGCCTTCAGAAAGGAGATAATAGCATGAAAATCGGATTAGATCTTATAATTGAGACTTCTTTTATGGGCCTTACTACTACAATGAGATTAGTTTAGGAAAGAAAATCATAAGAGTTTAAGTATTACACATTTCAAAATCAAGAAGACAAGTTTCAAACTTCAAAAATCAGATTTTTATTAAATTTTATTTATGATTTAATTAATTATTTATTTATATTTAGGTCACAAATTAACGATTTAGTTAGTCAATTATTTTTTTTGATCACAAATCAGAAATTTTATGTCTCAAATTATTTTACGGTCATAATTCAAAATTTTTATAGGTCACAATTTTTTTATCGGTCACAAATCAAAAAATTACATGTCACAATTTATTTATTGGTCATAAATCACGAATATTATAAGTCACAATTTATTATACAGTTACAAATTATCAGTCACAGATTAATAATTTCTTAGGTCACGCAATATTTTTTTTGTCATACTTTATATTTTTTATTTTCCACATTATTTATTGATCATAGATTAACCAATTTTATGATCACAGTCAACCAAATAATTTGTGACCACCATCAACACTTGCGACACCACCTCATCATTGCCTCCAGTAGCACCATTGCAATCGTTGCCACCAGAACCACCACCAACTCCTGATAGCAATACCATCACCTTAAACAAATCAACACATCCCGCAAAAACATCGTCAAATCATCGTGCCAAATCCACCACTACCTTGACAAATCAATTGCCACTGCACTCACTGCCATTGCCACCGCCAAAATATGGAAGCTGCCATCGCCAACACTCCAACAACCAAAACCAATATCTCACCGCCATCAAACCATTTGTACTACCATCGCACTGCAACCACCATATCCACCACCACATCTAGATCCACCATCTTCACCGCAACCAACCACCGTACATCGTTATCGCTAGATCCACCACCACCTGTACCAACTGCCGCTTCACATTGGTGCACTGCCCGATTCACCATCATCACCGCTTCACATAGCTGCGTTGCCAAACCCACTGCTAAAAAACCACTACCACACAAAACACCACCCAAATCTCTGGTGCATTGTCAGGTGGATCTACTTCGCGGTGATTCGCGTTTCTTCATGCTGGTGATTTGCGCTCATTCTAGAGTGAAATGGATTGAGGGGTGTGTAATGGGATTGGGTGACAACGGTGACTGGCAGTGAGCCTCACAACCACCATCATCCCCAACGCAAGACTGTGAGGTGGGGTGGTGACGTGCTGGTCACTTGGGATCAGTCTTCGCGATGGTCGGATGGGGTGGTTTATTACACTGTTGGGTGGTGTCGAGAGCGTTGGTGCCGCATCGATGACAACGCTGATGCTAGTGAAGTCTACGAGAGAGACATTGAGGGAGAGAGAATATAAATTAGGTTTAAGGACACTAAGTGAAGTGGGATAAAATGAAGGTTGGTATATAAACTAATTTAATTTTATAATAATAATATTACTATTGAAATATTATCTGATTTTTGAATAAACAAACTTTGCATCTCATTTTTTAAATTGGATCTTAAAACACGTGAATTGGTGTAATTCCCACATTACTTTAATACAACTTGAGATTTAAAAATTTGTAATATATAAATCATAATTTCATTTATATAATATTAAATATACGAATTAAAATATCTATAATCCCACCACATCTAGATCCACCATCTTCACCGCAACCAACCACCGTACATCGTTATCGCTAGATCCACCACCACCTGTACCAACTGCCGCTTCACATTGGTGCACTGCCCGATTCACCATCATCACCGCTTCACATAGCTGCGTTGCCAAACCCACTGCTAAAAAACCACTACCACACAAAACACCACCCAAATCTCTGGTGCATCGTCGGGTGGATCTACTTCGCGGTGATTCGCGTTTCTTCAAGCTAGTGATTTGCCCTCATTCTAGAGTGAAATGGATTGAGGGGTGTGTGATGGGATTGGGTGACAACGGTGACTGGCAGTGAGCCTCACAACCACCATCATCCCCAACGCAAGACTGTGAGGTGGGGTGGTGACGTGCTGGTCACTTGGGATCAGTCTTCGCGATGGTCGGATGGGGTGGTTTATTACACTGTTGGGTGGTGTCGAGAGCGTTGGTGCCGCATCGATGACAACGCTGATGCTAGTGAAGTCTACGAGAGAGACATTGAGGGAGAGAGAATATAAATTAGGTTTAAGGACACTAAGTGAAGTGGGATAAAATGAAGGTTGGTATATAAACTAATTTGATTTTATAATAATAATATTACTTGATGCTACCAAAAATCGTACCTGTAGATTTTCCGAGCTTGATGACTGATGATGAGCACGAACGTGATCTTCCAATACCTGAATCGGGATATACTGATCGGGGATATTGTAAAATGTCACCATCATTACTATTGAAATATTATTTGATTTTTGAATAAACAAACTTTGCATCTCATTTTTTAAATTGGATCTTAAAACACGTGAATTGGTGTAATTCCCACATTACTTTAATACAACTTGAGATTTACAAATTTGTAATATATAAATCATAATTTCATTTATATAATATTAAATATACGAATTAAAATATCTATAATCATAATCATTAAATTGAGTACCATTGAAAGTAGCACAATTTGACATAATTTATTTTACAATTATAAATTCAAAACTGCTGTGTGTACAGGCAGGCTTCATACAAAAGCCTGTCAGAACACACACAGGGGGTGGGCGATGATTTTTTTTGGCAATTTTTTATTTACGATGAGTCCCATACATGAGAGTAATCTGACCAAATTCTGTGAAAAAATTTCTGTACAAATGGCTTAAATGTTATAAATTACTTGCTCACAATCACAGTTCGACAGTCGACACCTCGTAGTTGTTTTGCAGGCAGGAAATCGCCTATTGGCAAAAATAATAGGACTGCACTAAGTGTACAGAAAGGATTCTCACAGAATCCATACAGAATACACACAAACAAATGGGCCCCAGATTTTTTGACAATATTTAATTTACATAGACCACACAATTTATATGAGAATTCGTACAACTTCTGTGATAGTTTTTGCTGTACTTATGCTTTTTCCCAAAATAATATAATTAGAGTCCCGAACCGATTTGTAAACCAGTGGGCTGAAGGTGGTCGCTATCCGATCCGGTGTCACGGTTTGCACATTTACCACATTTTCAGTCGGAATATCCTAAATCAATCTCTCTCTCTCTCTCCCTCCCTCCCTCCCTCCCCATGGACGCAGTTACCTTCTCAACTCCACTCTCTTTATATTCACCTCTATTCAACCACCGCCACTCTCTCTCTAAACCGCCACACGCATTCCCTTTCCATCTACCCAGAAAATTCCCAACCTTAACCCTCAAATACTCCCTTAATTCTCACTTACCCACTTATTCAACTCAAAATTCAAGTGCCCCATCTGAGGACTCGCTCTTGCTCCACCTCTCTGCGTCGGCACCGCAGACTCCTGCCACCGCAATGCGCGGGGCCGAGACTGACGCCATGGGTTTGTTGCTCAAGGAGAGGATTGTTTTCTTGGGAAATCAGATTGATGATTTTCTTGCTGATGCAATTATCAGCCAGCTGCTCTTGCTTGATGCTCAGGACCCCACTAAGGACATTCGACTTTTCGTCAATTCCCCCGGTGGCTCCCTCAGGTATGTAGGTTTTGTTATCAATTGTCTTGTTTAATTTAGTGCCATAATTGAGGACATTCTTGGTTATTTATTTCGGTTTTAGTAGGGTAAATAGTAGATTTTTGTGATATTTTGGGTTTCTGTATGTGTAATGCGTCAATTCTTCAAAGCCACTGAAATAATTTTTAATTTTTCTGATTCTTCTATAGGTGAATTAAAAAATTTGTTCTCATGTGTCCGCATTGGGTTTCAAAATTTGTTGCATTTAATTGAAGAAATGCACCATAGATATGGTGTAGAAGATTACTGATGGAATTTTGTCGGTCTACTAAGAATGGTTGAATGAGAAGTGACGTACACAAATTCATCTTGAGGACTCAAACTGTAAAACAACCTGGGAACATCAGTGTTGAACCCGAGCATTAACCAAGTTACTTCGAGGACTAATTAATAAAATTATCTTGGAACATCCAAGTGTGAACCCCGAGCACGTGGACAAGTAACCTCGACGACTAGAGAAGATTCTGAGGACAGTTTAGTTTTCTACACACTTAACACTCGAGGATTAATGTTCAAGGAATGGTAGTCTCCGAATAATTGTGACCGACCTCTGTACATGAGTCTTCCCGAGCTCTCATTTTTCAGCTTTTGATAAAAATACAAGGATATATGGTCGGGATGTATGTCCTCGGGATTTGTACTTGTGCTGCACTATTGTGCTGATTATGAGCTCCAGGATTTTGGTGCTTGTGAGAGGCTTACATGCTTGCTCGAGGACAAGGCTTAGAGGGACTTGCTCGAGGGCAAGGCTTAAATTGGCTTGTCAAAGACAATGCTTAAATTGGCTTGCTCGAGGGCAAGGCTTAAATTGGCTTGTCAAAAACAAGGCTTAAAGGGGCTTGCTCGAGGGCAAGGCTTATATTGGCTTGTCAAAGACAAGGCTTAAATTGGCTTGCTCGAGGGCAAGGCTTAAATTGGCTTGTCAAAGACAAGGCTTAAAGGGGCTTGCTTGAGGGCAAGGCTTATATTGGCTTGTCAAAGACAAGGCTTAAAGGGGCTTGCTTGAGGGCGAGGCTTATATTGGCTTGTCAAAAGACAAGGCTTAAAGGGGCTTGCTTGTGGGCAAGGCTTATATTGGCTTGTTAAAGACAAGGCTTGAAGGGGCATGCTTGAGAGCAAGGCTTAAAGGGGCTGTTATACCCGATGTTTGGATTTATTAATTGTTTGGACTGGACTTGGATTTATATTGCATCCAAGCTGCCTACGTACCCAAACGGGATCAAGTCGAACGTAGTTCATTACAAAAGAGAACGGAAAACATGCATGGGCACGCAGGCCCGCTAAACTAGAAATAAAATGCAGAAAAAGAAAATCTCCTCAAAGGCGTCGGGAATTTTACTTGTAATATATTTTCACATTCCAGGGCCTCCAGGNCAGACGGGCCCGAGCTTCCCTGGGGGGTGGCCTGCTGCTTCGGCCCTCCTCAAGACCAAATCGCCAGCTCTGAACCTCCGAGCCTTGACTTTGCGATTAAAATGTTTTGCTGTCTTTGCTTGGTAAGAGGCCACTTTTATAGCGGCTTGCTCCCGTACTTCTTCCAAGAG